ATAAAAATGATTATATTGAAAGATTTATTTATAATGAATGAACAAATATAAACTTTTATTCAAATAGTTATGACCTTCTGTATAATCTTGACTTTTATGAATAATACTCTATTTATATTCAAATAGTTATGACTATTTATCATATGATATGTTTTTATTCAAACATAATTATTTAAAATATGAACAAAATTAATATATCAATAATTAAAAATTTCTTTCAATGTGGGATGCACCATATGCTAAACTATCAACAAACAAAGATATGGGAGCTCATAGTGACAGTATGCCATGGGTGATTAATCCATTCACTAATGAAGCCCTTGCAGCTGTTCGAGCACTGGTGTTTGCTAATGAGATGGGCTTCCAAAATTTTTAGAGAAGGGGATTCTTTAACAGTTAATAGAAAGCTTTGTATAGGGAACCAAGATATGTCTCCTATAGGAATAATAATCAGAGAAGCTAGACTCAAACTTGCTGACTTCAAGAGCTGCACAATACATCATATCACAAGATTAAAGAATTAAGTAGCTCATAGATTAGCAATACATGGACTATTGATAAATGAAGAAATGTATTGGGAAGAGGATTATCCTGATTTTCTACAAGTAATTATATCTATTGTTGCCACTATAGCTTATGGTTGAATGGACAAAGCAAATTCATTTAAAAAAAGCATCAATGGAATATATATATACACACATGTATGCCTAATTAAATTCAAAATCATACATAAAATCTCTTTAAAGAGAAAAAATGTATATATGTATATATATCATAATGTTAAAATATTTTTATCTGATAAATTTTTATTATACTAAAAAATTACAGATCTGTTTTTGAGTATTTGAAATCTATATGCTTTTCAATGATAATGATCAAGGGTTAATCTATTTCTTTTTAATGTTCTATTATTCTTTTACACGAATTGAAATTTATTAACTAAGATCTGACTACTCTTCTTAATTACTTAATTAATGTTGGTTGTCATTCTCTATCATTACTCTACAACACAATATTCAAGATATTCCTAACCTCTTTGGTCATTTCTTAAAAGAATCAAAGGCATCAAAAGTGATATTTTAAAAATAAGAAAATTTTCAAATAACCCGATAATAAAAATACCAGTAATATATTAGAAAATATTTGATCAGGTATTAATAATTAGTTAAATATGATTTAAAAAGGAAAATATAAATCAGTGCCATTAAACATTGATTAATAGATATTTAAGGAAAGAAGTTTCAATTACAACATTGTCTTTGAGAAAGAATTGTATGAAACATATTGGTACATCATGTCAATCAAGAATGTTAATGGGTAGAGTATGAGTAAAGTAAAACATTTTCCATTTCCATCTCCGAATTTTTATATTATACTTATCTCTTTTTTTATACCCAATAGATATTTTAAATTTATCCACAACCCTATCTTCGTAGGTATTTAATAGGTATGGATAATCCTCATATCCATAGCTTTAAAAAAATAAAAACTAATTTATTTTTTTATTTTTATCTTGTATATTGAGAAAATTTTTTGTAAATATGTATTAATATATTTTTTCAATAAAAATATATTAATTCTAATTAATCTAAAATAATAATTTATGTTATTTAGTAAAAAATCTATTTACTAAATATATACAAATATATATGTAAGGTATAGGTATGGGGAAGGTACTATATTACCCATCCCCAGTCCTGTATCTAATACAAATTTAAAATCATACCTATCATCATCCTCATACCCATAGTATAATATCCATCCATCCCATCCCCATTAGGATAAAACTTTGAATTCTCTATTGGGTATAAATAAGATTGACATCGTTAATGTCAACATATATCATTTTCATTCAAATCATGCAACATAATCACATTATTAAAAAAATTAATTATTTATTATAAAAGAAATAATTAATCTATAAAAATAAATATTCACCATTTAATTATTACATGTAATGTGTAATAAATAATTGACTTTTTCTAATAATGTAATTATGTGACATGATTTGATTTTGTTATAGTAGCGTATTAATATAAAATTATTTCCTAAAATAGTATTTTAACTAACATTAACTAGTGCTTGCCGACACCATTAAAGGAACTTTAATTTTTTCCTTTTTATTTAGAATTTATATTTGATGCAGTGTTGGTATATAAAATTTTATGTATTATCAATAAATCAAATTATGTCACTTCATTAATGAGTAAATATCAAATCTTAAAATAAATACACAAAAAAAAAAAAAAACTTTCTCCTTAATAAGGTGGCAATTGGCATCATCTGGTTCACCTCATTAATGGATGATATTATCCGATTCATTGATAATGTATAAAATTTATACACTAACAATGCATCAAATATAAATTCTTTTATTAATTTCAAAAAAAAATGTTATATATTTATAAAAAAATACGCAAACCCATAGAAATACCCTTTTTATCAATATCAACAAAAACAGACACTATGTAATTTTATTATGTTAAAATACCTCCATTTTTCAGTGGATTCTTTTGAAGAAAAGATTAATATTTGTTCTATTCTATTAGTAATAAGAGAAGAATTTGGCTCAAAAGAAAAAAGAGAAGCAGATATATTTTATACCCAATAAGTATCAATATGTAGTGGGGCTTGATCCTATTTTTTATGAATGAGTGCATCCCTATTTGTTCATCATTCAAAGGACCTATTCGTAAGAATTCTCTTTCATTCATTTTGCCTTTCTTTATTTTATGGCCTTGGTTTATTTATGTATAAAAGATGATAAAGGCCAATATTATTGATACCATTATTACGTATTATAATATATTACGTATTATATAGTTACGTATTATAATATTTATATCTGACGCACTGTCAATATTTAAATTTTATATTTTCAACGAATCATATTATATTACCTTATTAATAAATAAATTTAAACCCTTAAAATAAATATACAAAAAATTAATTTTTTTTAAAAAATTTGCTCATTAATGATGTGGTATCATTTGATTCACTTCATTAATAAAGTAGCATCATCTAATTCACTAACAACAAATGACAGTATATCAAATATAAATTTTAAAAAACATACACATTTGTACACATAACTGACTTTTGTGCACATAATCAATTTTTTAAAAAAGCTGTCTTATTCTTTTATTTTTCAAAATATCATCACAAAACAATTATATGTTTATGAAAAGGGATCCACATACACAATGTAAAATTAAAAAAGTTTTACACATGTTTCTAACTATTGATTTTAATAAAGCCAATGAATGAGATTAAACTATTTTTTTCTTATTTTTACTTGTCTTTCTTATCTCTTGTATCTACTAAAATCAATTATTAAAAATGTATAAATTTTTTTAATTTTATATTATATAAATTGATCTTATATATATTTATATATTTGCACATATATATAGCATTATCCTTAATAAACATAATTTTATAGCCTTTCTTAAATACTTGCACGGATTTGGTGAGGTTATCATGAACTTAACCTTGGATGTAACATTGGTTGAATTTTAATTTTTAACATATTTATGAACAGTTTAGTTAATGATGAATGAATAAATTAAAGGATATCAGTTTCAACTAAAAAAAATAAATTATCTACTAAACTAGCGAATGGCACAGAGATCCACATTTGTTTCCAAGGAATACATTTTATTTCCCACAAAATAAAAAAGCCTAAAAAAGGCAGATCAATCTTAAATGTAACATAGTCCCCCCCCCCCCCTTCTCTACGCCCCGATTTTGCTTTTCCCTCTTCTTTTTCAGTCTTGAACTTCCACTAAGATTTAGTTTAATATCAAAATTAATTAATTCTGGTCTCGATAACTTTTATAAGAAAAGTCCTTAATCTTTACTTTTCACACGTATAATTATACCTTCATTTGGATCACAGTGTTTTTTTTTTTTTTTGGAATCCAACTATTATTTGAGACTTACCCTTAATTCACATATATCCATCAGCTAGCAAGATCAATGCAAAAATATTTCATTTTCATTAGAGGAAAAAGATATGTCTGATGCAGAAATTTATACCCTCTTAAAGGCATATACATTCTGAATAATTAAATTTTCATATTCTATTTTCTTTTCTTTTTCAAAAAAGTCTTTTTAAAATTTTGGATTCACAGTTTTATGTATGCTTTCTCCTTCATCAACAAGAAAAACTAGAAAAGCTAGGTAGCTAGGAAGAGGAGAGGACTTCTGGAAATGATGAGGCCATTTTGGGAATTTTGTTTGTATTCATAGCAACTTACAAATGTTAGGTTTGCATTATATTAAGGTGACCTTTTATTTTATTTTATTTATTATTATGCTTTACAAATCCAATAATAATAGTAATAATAATTTTTAATGTGTCCTCTAGGGTTTCTGCGGTGGGCCATGCGTTCCATGTGCTTGCATGTGCTGTGTCTTTCTCTCGTAGGTCCACCACTTCTTTTCCTTTGAGCAAATAAATGGGGTTCCTTTCTCATTCTCTCTCCGACTCTCTCTTTCTATCTGTGTTTCTGAACCTCTCTTTCTTGGATTGTGATACACTTTCTTGGATCTGTTGCTTCACTCTCTGCAACTTTGTTTCTGATACTTATCTCAGCTCAAGATTAATTTTTAACTCTTTTTCTAATTCCATACAAGAAGTTTTAGCAAGGTACGTACTGGTTTTACTTTACTACTAGTGTTTAACCTAAAGTAAGCCTAAGTAGTGATACTGTGTGCTCGAAATCTTGATCTCTTGCTCTTAATTTTATGGTGTCTGCACTGCCGTTGTCTTGTTTGAAACCCTAGCTCCTTCTCTTGCATCCTGTAATTTTACTTCATGGGATTTATTTTCCATTTTACTTCAATATATAAGCATTAGGAGAAACTGGGAAAGGTGACTATTCGATCGGTAGATAATTATTATTTGAAAGTTTTGTATGTAATGAACTCTGTATATATATGACAAGGATATTGATGGTTTGAAACCACGTTGAAACTGATAATTTCGTTTTTGCAGGATGCGTCCTCCTAGTTCACTCAAGCAAGAGTTTCTCAAGAAATGGATAATGGGTCTACAAAGATGTAGCACTGTAAAGAAGAATATGAGCATCTTGGAGAGAAAAAAGGCTATAAAGTTGTCAGCAGATGTAGCCATGGCTTCTGCAAGAAACGGTAAAACTTGTTGGAGTCGAGCCATCATTGCCAATGCTTCCAAACATGGCAGTGATAAACATCTAGTTGAGAAAATATTGGGTCCGGAGTCTGAAAGGCTAATAGCGAAGAAGGTGTCGACAGGAGCATTATGCAACAACAGGATCAGAAGCAAGAAGATCCTGAAAAGGAGTTGGGGAATCCGAAGAACAAGAAAATGTGCACCCCAAGTGGCTCTAGCAAGCTTTATTGCAAAATGGTTGGTTAGGAAAAGAACAAAAGTTTTAAAAAGTCTAATCCCTGGAGGAGAATTTATGAATGAAGTCTGTTTGATTGAGGAAACTCTAGATTATATCATATCTCTCCGAGCTCAGGTCGATGTAATGCGAACTCTTGCCAGTACTTCGGAGATAGTGAATCATAACTAAGAGCATCAATGGTAAATTGTTCTCAGTTATTTAGTACATGTTTATTTCCTTTTTGTTTTTCGGCCCAACCCCTAGTCTAGCTAGATGAAAGGAAAGTGGAAGCTGGAACAGTTGATGCATGCATTTACAGATGAACTATATATATGTAAGTTAATCAAGGCTTTAATTTCAACCATTCTATAATACTTAAGTTGTTTTGACTTGCATTAATTTTTAGTCCCAAGCATAAGTTAATTTCTTATATTATAGTTGCTATGTCTTAAGTCTTAATTAATCTAAAACCAACTATTTTTTTAGTACAAAAGAGGCTACAGATAAGGAAAGGGGTTACTAAGATAGAGCTATTAAATACTACTTTTTATACTTCAATTAATAAACCAATTAATAAAATCAACTAATTAATAAAATCGACTAATTATACTTCAATATCTTCTGCTTCTTTAATTTCTATCAACTTCACCTTTTTCCTTAAAAAATTATTGACTTTTCCATAAGTCTTGAGCATAGGAGACAAATAATAATGAGATTGGTTTGATTATCAGCAGCTACAGAAAATATTATGATCAGCAAACATATATATGAGTGAAAAAAAGGAACATGGTTTGAAGAGTAGTAATTTGCTTTCATTTGTTTTAATTAGTATCATGAATAAGTGTAGATAAGAAAGAAGAACATTTAGATACTCAACCGATTGATGTTTGGTGTGCATGTGGAGAGAGAGGGAGAGAAAACGATGAATGCATTCGAATCAAAAAGGCTTACCATTTCGAGTATTTCTTAAACAGATGTGATATTCTTTTTTCTGCTTATTTTGGCTAAGAAAACTGAGATGGCTTTATATTATTGACGTATATGTAAGAAAGAAAAAAAAAAAAGTTGCTGTGGACATGCTTCAGATGATAGCCATAAAAACTGCACGCTCGTGCAACATCTTCACCTTCAAAGCATGTTTGACATGATTCTGACAAAAAAAAAATAAAAAACGAAGCTGCTGTTTTTTTTTTTTTTTTTCTCTAAATCAAGTTTATTAAATCAATCTAAAGGTTACAAAGTTACCAATAACCTAACACATTGAGTTTTAGTACAACCGATACAAGCAATAAAAAACATTTAATTGAGAATTAAATAACGAATCACCATCGCAGAATACAATCTATAGGAGCAATAAGAAACACCTAATTAAAAATTTAGAGTTTAGTTTAATTAGTTCGTATAATTATTTTTTTAATTTTTAAAAAGTAACATTTAATAAATTCATAATTCAATTCTTAGTACTTGTAACACATTCTCTTATTTTAAGCTTCAAACTCTTTTTGTGAAAAAAAAAATCTAACCGAAGCTGCTTTTTAAAAGCAAGGATATATAATTTGCTCTTATTCTTTATGATCTTATATTTGTCTAGCTGTTACTTACATATATGGGACTCACCTGGCTAGGTAATATGTACTGTATGTATCATTAGATCCTAAACTTAATCCTTGAAATTTACATTATTTGAATGCGGTCAAGATTTGTTGAATGTAAGTTGAAAGAGATATGATTTTGGAGGGAAATGGAGACACCTCGGACTTGAGGAAAAGAAAATGAGATGTCATGTTTTTCATGAAGTTAATGATCTAGCAAACCTACATCTATAGCAACCGAAAAGAGTGCGGAATGATGATTTGCTTGAAACGGTAAAATTGTAATTGATATGTCAAATTGTCCTAAGAATCTGTGCACCGAACAACAACTACGCCATGATTTGATTGGTGTCTGCATTAATTTTACCTATTTTCGAAGACTCTTCGCTCTGTAATCTTCAATGCAAGGCGCATTTATTCTATATTGCTTATCCAATTTGTCAACATAAAGAGACCACATTTTAGTAATGAAGTTCAAAATTAAGTGCTTGAAAAAGAAGAATGTATCATGTCTCTTGCGGTATATTATTCCTCTATTTAGTTTAATCCAATGTTATATATAAATTACAATGATTTACCAAATCAAATTTATTAGATTTAATGTCATGAATAGGTTTTAAATTAAAATAAAATATTTAATGTAATATTTGAATTTTAAAATTTTTAATGTAATATTTGAATTATAAATTTATTAATTAATTTAATACTTATTTTTAATGTGTTTAATTTTAAATAATAATATATGATAGATAAATAATTTTTCAAGTAATACATATGTTAACAGATTAATAATTTAAATATCATATTAGAAGTTTTTAAATTCAAATACTATATTAAATATTTTATTATAGTTTAAAAACTATTTAAGACATTAACCAAATTTGTTACTATTTCTAAACACTAATTAATTTAATAAAATCCAGAGAAGATTGATGGAGAGAAGGTTTCTACTCATGAGTACTAGTCCATGACAACACGAATATCACAATTCTTAGCTACTGATTCATAATTTATAAAGCTGAGTACTAGTGCAAAACTTTAAATAGAAAATGTTGAATTCAATTTTAAGCAACATCACACCCTTTAACTCTTAAGCTTGAGGAATACTTCTCTTTTCAAATGCTGGGTTTTGAGACAAAATCATGAGACACAAACTAATATAAAACAGATTCAATACGTCATTTCCATCATCATAACATGAACATTGATCTGATTTCATGTATGTAGTCGCATTTGATTAGCTGATTCAAATTCCAGCTGTTATGTATAGTTGAAAATATAGAACTAGTTTAATCGGATTGTGTTCTTTCAGTCCATTTGATTGGATGCCTCTTTTCGCAAATGATAATAATTTTGCTTTCTTTAATGTGGGGCTTGGCATCATGACAAAGCCTAGCTCATTTCATGAAATTTTCTTTCTTAATCTCATATTATGCTCGCCATCTAATTTTCTTCTACTCGTCTAAAGATAAAAAGTTCTTTTAAATCATTCATGTTGACTGAGCTAGCTGTTGCATTTCTTCTATAGTTACCTCTTCCCCATTTCCCACTTCTTGAAACATATAATTTAGAATTGTCAAGGCCCATGGGGGCCTCCCACGCCCCTCTAAAACTTTTATTAAATCATTTTCCTTATTTGATTGCGAAATTTCACAGAATCCAACAACGATCATCTGTCCCAATATTGTAAATCAAGTGAAATGCTCGATAATTTAATTCAATTAAGAGCTGAGTCTTGAGAGTACTTTATTTTTTGGAAAATCAAGGTTTCTTCTACAAAAAAAAAAAACACTCGAGGTATCTGCGCATCTTTCGGAAAGAAATATATTGATGGAGAAGAGACAATTTTGAGAGGCTTTCTAATGTATATAATGGTGGATCTTCACAATTGATTTTGAGAGAATTATTTACTATTATATTGGATTTTAATATTTTTTTATAATATATTTATTTATATTATTAATATGTATATATGTAAGTAAAATACAAATAAAATATATAAACTTTCAAAAGTATAAATTTTATTATTCATAAATTAATCATATATATTATACTACAACTTATATAAATATCAGATAAGATTTGTCATATGAACAGTTATGTGGATAACTTTTAGATGACATATAAGATAGATTTTTAAAGAGTATAGGTTTTTTTAGTCACAAATTGGATAATTTTAAAATTTTTTCAAATATCAAAATTATTCAAAATATAATTGCAAACCAAATCAATCTAGAGATTTTTTTTAAATAAAAAATCTGAAAAATATTAACTAAAATTAATTTTTAATAAGCAGATATATAATGTAAATATATATCTTTTTATCTTTTAAAATTAATTAAATGATAAACATATTTAAAAATTATTAGTTATCCAAAATTACTTTTCTAATAATTTATATATATAATTAAATATATATCTTTTTATCTCCTAAAATTAATTTTCTAATAATTTAGATATATATAATTTAAATAATATCTTTCTATTTTTTAAAATTATTTTTTAATAATTTAGATATATATCTTTTTAAATTTAAAAATATCAAATTACGTTTTATCTTAATAGATTTCAGAATAATCTTTTATTATTCAAAAAGACCAAATTTAATTTCTTGATAATTTATATATATCTTTTAAAAATAACTCATTCTTTAACATAGATTTTATTCGACGTTTTGTTCTCCACCTTGTTTGCACCTCCTATTCTTCTTGTATTACAAAGTATAAGTTACATAAGTATTTTTTTTCTTTGGTAGGTTTTTAGGGTAGATCATTTATCTTTAACTTTAATTCCTTTTTTTTCTTTTGAATGTCTTTACGGTAAGTCATTTGTCTTTAGCTTTGATTCTTTTTGGATATATTATAAAGTGCAAAGTTATAATAACATTTATTTTATATTTTGTAGGTATTGTATATAGCCCTTTTATCTTTACCTTTAACTTTTCACTCAATTAGATAATTTTTTCTCTCAATTTAGCTTTAGGTTTTACCTTTTTTTATAATCATTTTAAATCTACTTATAACCCATCGGTAATGTCTTTTTAATTGTGATCTAAAAGCAAACAAAAATTAATTATTATGAAAATTCTACTGGGTAAAGTTCCATAAACACACTATTTAGACCACATACATGCCTAAATTTTTCGATAAGATATAATCATATTTTCTGGTACTACACTTCTAGTAATGGACAATTTCTAATTTTATAGTATTTATCAACTAAATAAAAATATTTTAAAATGACTAGTTTTTCAAAATTAATTTTTTAATAATTTATACTTATAATCTAATATATTTTTTATCACATAAAATTAATTTACTAATAATTTTATGGAATTTATCAAATAAATAAAAATATTTTAAAATTATTAGTTATCTAAAATTAATTTTTTAATAATTTATATATAATTTAAATATATATGTATATCTTCTTATCTTTTAAAATTAATCAAAAAATAAAATATTTTAAAATTGTAAGTTACCCAAAATTAATTTTTTAATAATTTTCTATAATCTATATATAATTTAACTATATATATTTTATCTTCTAAAATTAATTTACTAATAATTTTATGGTATTTATAAATAAAAAATATATATGTTATATATCATTTAAGACTATAAATGTAATGTGTTAT